TATCGAAGCTGCGCAAAGAAAGGAAACTGTCAAGACGGATAGTCGATAATAAGAAAGGAGCAACAAAAAGGTTGCCAAGTGTATTTGATTGAAAATCAATAAATCAAACGACAGGTTATCAAACACTGAAATATTCATATAGATTTTATCAAAGGATCATGCTAATACCGTACCTGGGTGATAACCTTGCACTTTGGTCGCACTGAATAATAAATTTTAATCAAGTGCTTAAGTTTATAAACCAGATCGATAAAAAGATCAAATTCATAATGCAGGTGAAGGGGATTTTTCAGAAATATCTTGCACGCTAAAATACTCCTCAATTTCAACTCTCATTAATTACAAACTGAAGATAATAATAATCAGTAGCATGATTTTCAGAAGCCTAAGACTAACGGATATGGAATTCTGGGATGAACAATTTGTCATATTGTCTTGGATATTTTTCAGCAAAGCTAAAGCAGATTTCATGGGGGTGATTATGGTTGGAAAATAAAGATGGTGACTTATTTAGAAAGTGGATATGCTTACCCTCCTGCGAAACTCAGGAACTCATAAACTATGTTTACTACCAAAAATATTGAACGTTTAGATTATCACGGAAGAAAAAGTGAGCACTACATGGAAAGGTGAACAAATTGTATTGCCTTGGAGTTGATCGCCATATTTTAGGCATCTGACACACAAGGGAACAGGGAAATGGATAGTTACCATCGTTATTGAAAGTTGTCATTATCGCCAGTAGATCGAAGCCAGTTTGACTACAGATATATTCGAGATGAAGTGGAGACCTGAGACATAAATTCTTAGTTTGCCTACACGACAGAGAATCAGGGTCTTGGCGCCTTGTTCACCGAGGCTATAGTACGTGAGAAAACACTCAGGGTAAAACGTATATAATGACGGCAATCGATTGAGACAACGCGGAAAAACTGGTTTTCTTGAGCATTGAACCTTAATGACTACAGATTAACGGGCTATGATAGGTAACCTGATTTTCATGCATACATGCTTACTTCTCATCAATTAAACAAGAGCTACTGAAATTATCATGAATATTAAGGTAGAGGACTTCGGCCTTATCTATGTTGCCCTAATAACACGATCGTTTTTCCCTTTTTTTGTTATTTAGGTCACCAAATTTTATTTTCTTAAAAGTTAAAATTGCTACGATTACGATAATTAAAGGGGATTGGTTTAACTGATGATAAGTAGAGAAGTGCTCAATGCATTTCTTTAATCCTGCTTTCACTTTTTTTAAAGTTTCTGCTTGACATAATAATCTTTCTTTGTATATATTATCTTTAGGGTGTTGGAAGCAATAATGAACAAGTGCTTGTGCTTGCTGCCACAAACATCCCATGGGTTTTAGATTTTGCGATCCGACGGCGATTCGAGAAGAGGATCTATATCCCCCTTCCAGAAACTGGAGCCCGGACAAATATGTTTAAATTGAATCTTGTAAGCACGCGGCATCGACTTACTGATAGTGACTTATGTGAGCTCGGTCGCCGTTCCGAGGGCTACTCTGGTGCTGATATTTCCATTCTCGTCAGGGATGCGCTTATGGCACCTGTTAGAAAAGTTCAGACCGCCACCCATTTTAAAAGGGTAATATTATGGTTTGCAATTTCGCATAAGTTCCTATTTTTTAAACCTTATATTTTTGACATAATAAAAATAGGCCGAAGCAGCCGCATTTATTATAAAAATTATCGTGATTAATTGCAAAATATAATAACATAATGCATGTCATGTATATTTAAGTACTTATTAATGCACAATTTATCCATTCTAATCGTGTCATCAGGTTTCTGCGCCGTCTCCACATGACGAGAATATAACTGTTCACGACTTACTTACCCCATGCTCACCTGGGGACAAGGGAGCGATTGAGATGGACTGGATGAATGTCCCGAGCGACAAATTACTAGAGCCTTACGTTGATATGGTAACTACCCAACAATCTATTTGTACACGTATTTTTTCAGACGGTTGTTGCTTTAGAAAACCTTGATCTCTTTCATTAAGAAATTACATTTATATCTCATAAACAAATTTTTTTAATCATACACGCCAAGCGATGCAGTGCTAGCTTTCCATTGGCTACTTTATATGCGAATATAAAGAGGCAAGGTGTAAGGTTCTTCGCCAATATACCATTGGCATACTCCTTTACAATTATATGCTCTTAATGTATAGGGTTTTATTCAAACGAAACAATCACTTCTATCTTAACTAACTATTTTTTGAAAGTTTTTGCCGCTTTATTTGTGATAGCATTTTCATCATTTTCTGTCTGCTGAGAGGCTTCATAATTTGCTTCTTTGTCGTTTACCATTTGTCATGCAGACTAAATTGATCTGTCCTAAACTTGCATTGACATTACCATCAATGCACAGTGAGTATGCTTCGAGAAGATCATTTGATTTGTCATTTGTATTAACAAATACAAATTTCCTCGTCGACAATTCCACTTTGAATATGACTTGGGAAAAATCTGGCTTGCCTTGAAAGTCACATCTCCCTTGCGATCATCTGGCGCCTGTGGCTGTGTGGTAGACGACTAGATATTCATACTTTACGCACTTTCCGGTTTTTAATCCTATTTTGGGCGCTGATGAGACACGAGGGAGATATAATTTGCCGTCCAGTCTGGATGGGAAAGCCTATTTGGAGCCAAAGCGATGTGAAAATTATTAATTTTGTCCGGTATACTCACTTGGCTGAGGAAAAAGTCATCTATCAGTCTTACATAATCTTATGCAAACTAAGATGATTAGCTTGTATTTATGAAGATTATGACGATGTGGCCTTTTGTTTGGTCGCAGTCATTCTTAGTTGCGTTGTGTTTGTTTGACCTCGTTTTGCAACTGTCTTCCATATCTTCCAAAAAATGATGTTAATCAAGAGAGGCTCGAATAGAAGATCATTCTTTTCACTGCAGGTGTTGATGAAACCGAGAAGAGATTGAGATTACAGCTGTGTCTGAACGAGAAGAGCTTTTTAAGAATTAAGCAAAGGAAATCCCCTAATTTATCGTGGGCAAACACACTATTATTTAAATAATAGACAAGTTGCATCCATATTACTCATTGTCCTGATTATTTAATGAATAAAAAACCATTGCTGATTTTGTAGGCTTATTATTTGTCCTATTTAGCTTTTATTTGGTCATAAGTGATATACTGAATTGTTACTTCTGGTACCTTTTTTCATCGGGCAATTTTTTAAATTTGGCAATTGAGCTACCTTTTAGTTTTTATTACCGTTTTTACATTTAGTAATTTAAAATTCGTTTAAATATCCTTTACTAATTTTCCAGTTTTATCAAGATTACAAAACTATCTCAGCTTGTCCCATTTCATTCCCTATCAGCCTATTGATTTATTTTCCCAATTGTTTTCTGATCTGAAACTCATAGTCGATAATTGAGGCTTATTACTATTTGGGTTTAGTTTAGTTTAGTTCTTGTTCGGAACTCTGCTGATCTTTTCTGCAAATACCTTTGGCACTTCTACATAAGGATAAAACTACAACTCATTTTGCTGATGTTACTATCACTACACTGTATATATTTTTTGCTGAGCCTGTTACTTAAATACCATGCACTTTTTTACGTAGCCAAATTTATAAAATTTATTTTTTTTGTTTTTCAGACTGATATGCTTGCAGCTTTGTCTCGTTCAAAGCCAACTGTAAATCAAGATGATCTCAAGAAGCTTATAAAATTCACTGATGATTTCGGCCAAGAGGGCTAGTGCGCCAACATTTCTATTGATTGCTATCGTCTTGTAGATTTCGTGATGTTCTTTCAAATTTTCTTCGGTATATCCTTTCTCATTTTCATTTCCCAGCATATTTTTTTAAATAATGCAAAAGAACAGAACTTTGAAGCTAGCCCGTTTGAGAAAACTTCTTTCCAACATCTTTTAGGAATTAACCTATTTTGTCTATTAAAATGATGTTCTTCCAATATTCCATCTATTTTCTTCTTGATATCATCAATTATCTTTTTTCTTTTGCCTAATCCTCCATCCCTGTCTTGCACAAATGGCCCCCTAATTCCTTTCTGATAACAGAATATATCCTTTTCCCTTCATATTTCTAGCGAATTTACTGAAATGGCTTCTCTATTCACACCAAGATGGGGTAGCCTTTTGTGTGGTTGCAGTCTTATTTCGTCGTAAAGAAGTTGTTTGACCTTGTTTTCGCAACTTGGTAATATTGGTAGGAAGACTTCAAGGAATGCACCTAGTCCGGAGTCCATTGTATGCATGATAATGTCCGAAGTCGAACCTTGGACGCTAGTATTTAAACTTTATTTTATTTTATAACTGGGAAAAGTTAATATAGTTAACTTGTTCACGGAGAAGGGTTCAATTTATTTTCTACTTTTTTTGTAAACATAAAAATGTAGACACGGATATACTGTCTCTAGTATTTAAACTTTTAAAGGATTTGAAATTAAGGAGAAGAAACCTGATATCTAACTGCTTTCTTATCTTAATAACAGAATCACGGTATGGTAGGATGTGTTGCTTTGGTTTTCTCGGCCTGTTGGATATAGCCTCTATTTAAACTGAAGATGCACAGACTTGCCAACTATCCAGAATCCAATAGTGTCTTGGTTTGATGAATCCTTTGCTGTAAAGACTTTTTTTAATTAGAGCTGGAAGGCTGATGAGGTTGACATACGAATCGCTTTATCACGCACTTTCATATAAAATTAAAGTTTCCACAACAAATGCCCTAAGTCAAGTAGACACTCTATAAAATGCTCTGCAAACGCATTCTTACTTGGTTTCTCTCTCAATTGGCAGCTCGGATACCGGGCCCTTTAGTACTCTGTTCTACGTAGTTTTCGACGCAGCCATAAGTTAGCCTGATGACCTGCCTATATTTAGCGTTCTTAATGCAGCCATCATGAAGTGGATATGTGCCTATTTTCTTGCTTTCTTTAAACCTTATTTTGATCGCTCCAAAACAAACATGACGAAGATATTTTACCTCAATATCGACCGCTTTAGTGATATTTTATGACTAGCCAACGAAACACCCAGTATGACCAATTTGCTGTTTAGCTCAGGTACTATTTAAGCTAATGTTGTGATAACAAGAAGTCAAGACCTTGTATTGACTTTTAATTCTCAGTCAGTTTGACTACATCCGTCGTCACAACCAGCCAGTAAGCAGTTATCTCCCAACTCACGCAACACTATTCGTAGCATTACTCATCGGTACTGTCATACGAGCACTAAGTGAACCTAATCATCATACCGAGCCTTTCTGTTGAACCAATCAGAACGTAACATTAAAAGTATCTAAACGTATTTGAAGCCAAAATTTCACATTAAGTACTGTTCTCGCACTGAAACCGCACTCCGCCATCGTTTTTGATTTCCGACCTCGCATCCTCAACTGTAAAATTTGTTCTACGCAAGGTAGCCCGTGATCCGTTTTCTTGTTCCTCTATACAAAGCAGGAGTATCCTATGCATATCGGAAAGCCGAGTACATTTACAGTGAGTAGTTTATATCGCTCAAGCATCAAACCAACCTGTTCTTATTGTCAGGAGGACTGATTAGAACACACCTTGTCCTAGATCCTCTGCCATAGTAGTTATCACAATTCCCAGCATCAGGCTGTGGACTTGGTACATTCTCAGACCTTTCCCCGGCATCATCAGTGAGTGTTGCCATTCTCCGCACAAGCTACGAATTCGTCAGAGACAAGTGAAGTCAATCCTTAGACCAACGTTCTGCCAAAAACGGTTACACTATTACTCCTCTTTCTGTCCTGGCCCATTATCAACTCTACCCTCTTATCCAACTCCCGTCCTATCAAAACTTCTGATTTGTATACATTCCACTCCTCAAAAGGTATGCCCTTTTTGGCGAATTTAGTATGGCGTCAGCATACCTGCTATTCGCCCTGCCCCCCTCTCTCGATCGGCCGATCCGACCCGGGCCTCCTATTCGGATCTCCCTCGGTCCCGTAGATCCGTTTCTTAGTTTTCTGGTTGACTGATTTCACTCGGTTCCAGTCCTAGTGTGCGTTTTATTCCAGGCGCTATTTCTCAAGGCCATAGAAGCACGTACACTGTCGCCTCACTGAGCAGAGCGCCTAGACTGATTCCCATCTTTGCAGATCTCAGGCAATGCCTTCACGGGTCGTCTCCTCGATTAAATCCGTGTTACCTGAGCAAACTGTGGACGCCTATTTCTGGTCGCATGCGGCATCTCAAGTTGATTTCTTGTGCATTTTGGCCATAATGCCTAATTGCTGTGAAGGTTGTACTTATCCGTCTGTCTAGTTTGGAGATTAAACTTATTCCAGAGATTTTGACACATCAAGAACTAATACACAGGAACAGATTTGCTAGGATACACAATACCCTGGAAACAAATGAACAATTAGTCCTTCAGGAGGATAAAGGAGGAGAGGCAGTGATAAAAGACAAAAAAACAATATACCTAGAACTTGTTATATATTCTCGAAGTCGGGACAACTAATCGTAAATTGTTGGGGTGACTTCATTTCGTATAAAAGTGCATGAAAAAGGGATCCGTATGTCGATCTCACCAGAAGAGGACGGCTGAATCCTGTTATACTGCAGCCTTTTAGGTTTTGCACGGCGTGCAGGTAGATGCAGTCCATGAGACCTTCGTCTCTTTGGGTAAGAGCTAGCTGCGCTTTTGTCCATTTGATGGACATCGTCAGAGCTGGAACTTAATCTTGTAAAAGTCTCAAGTTAACACCAGGTCAATAAGACTATCCGGCTCTATCTTAGCTCTTATATAGACTTAATCAGCAAAAGAAAATAAGAAAGCCTATATATATATAGAATTGTTTAACTAATTATTTCTCATACTGGCCCTGCTGTTTTGCTCATGTGTGTGTGTGTGTAAGTTAACGTCTATACGCAATACCGGTCCTAAATCAGAGTAATCAGATGGCTAATGTCAGGTTCTGGTTATCAAGGCTTAATGACCCAAGATAAAGTCCTGACCGAGACGGCGTAAGTTCATAAGCAAGTATGGTTAAGATAATGAAATGTAATCTTGTAGGTGTGTAAGCCAAATTA